TCAACCCCGCGCTGGCATCTCTCGCATGCCCCGAGATGAACGACTTCCAGTACCAAGCGGGTGCTACACTGGAGGACTTCAGCACTTGGATGCGAGACGACGTCCGCGATTGGGCTTTGTCGCGTGGCAACTACAAGCGTTCTTGGCTTGAGAACAACACGAGGCCGGTGGCAACGCCCGCACTTTGGAACCGGCGGCCGCACGCGAGGCATACCATACCTAGCTACGTCGACGCCTCGACGGTATCATAGCCTCCACAGCTCCACTCAATGAGGAGCAGAAGAGGATCAGTGGGCACATCCGCCATGCTCGCGCGCTCTACAGGACTGGTAAAAATGACGAGTACCGCGACCTCAACGAGGTCATTTGGGCGTACTGGGCAGATTGCTTCCCTGCGTACGTCAAACAACGCCATTACCAGCGTGGTCTGAGTGCGTTCCTCTGGTGGAGCGGCAACGACGTCACTACGGACGGGAACTGGATGAAACTCGATCCACATTGAGCCCGTGCAACTCCTCCAGACGAGAATGAGCGTAGATGGTTACCTTCACCAGGCAGGGTGGTCCTGACGATTCCCGAGCACGTCAAAGTGGACATATCTCGTTGTGTTTAGGTATTGAATTGTTTCCGCTGCCCCACTGTCACGGGCCCTGGCAAGGCGCATCAATGGGGACTACCAGAGAAGATCGACGAGCTCATGGACGAGATGATCCCGATGTTCACAGGCCGCGGTATTGCTGCACTACCTGCTGATCAGTGGATCAAAAACCAGGACCGCCCACATACCAGTTCGTGGCACTCACAGAAGACGGATCACAACCTGGTGCAGTTGACGCAGCAGTTCATGTACGCCGCCACTCTAAGGAACATGAGCGCGGTACTGCTATCGCTGCCGACACAGCCCTTCCCGTTCCGTCACCCGTTGATTTAGTATGTCAACGACTACCAAGGCCACGCCCAGGCAATGGAGATGCGAGAAGCTCTCCGTGTTCGCCTGGAGCAATCCACGCAGTTCTAGCGTTCCAAGGGACTTACAGCTCTGCACGTACAGACCCTCGGAGAACATAGTTTGGCTGCGTGGGTGACCAAGACATTTCAGGCTGCCAGGTCTTCGGTTGACGCCCCTCCGGTCCTTTCCGCCGGAGGCTACTCCTGCAGCTGGATCATCTCCTGCCGCTCCGATTTCACGGAGCCCGATCCCTGTCTTGGCTTCTGCAAAAACGGATGCGACAACACCCGAAGATGCTCCTCCTGCGTACACACAGGCCATCCCTACTGCATATGGCAAAGATTCGGATGGCAAGGCTATTCATTCGGAGACAGAAGAAACAGACGACATCTCGTACCAGGTCATTTTTTTCGGCGCCTCAGCGGTATGCTTGATACTTTCCCCGATATATTGGAATCCTATTCCTCTCCTGAACGTGACTTCATCAAGACCACGAAGAACAGGACATACCTGCTGCGTCATGCCCCTACGTGGTTGGCATTGCGGCAACAATTCGTCAACAAGATCACGCATAGCGCCCCGATTCGTGCCAGTGAAGAATCGGACGTCCTCGAACTTGAACGTGATGTCAACACGAACTACATCGGGGAGCTTACTACCTAATTTTGTAATCAGGCGGAGTCTCCCTATACACACACCTCCTCGTCTCTTCTGCCCCTCTTCTTACTGATTGGTCTTTGGCCCCTTGGCCTTGCGTGGGGCGGGAGCAGCACGGCCGAGTCGTTGCACTGGTCGACGCCGGCATCAAGGACCGGAGGGGACGGAAGGATGGAGGAGGAGCAGGAAAAGGAGGAAGAGGAGGAGGGAGGAGGGAGGAGGGAGGGAGGAGGGAGGGAGGGAGGGAGGAGGGAGGGAGGAGGGAGGGAGGAGAGGCTTGGAAGGAGGAGAGGAGGAGAGGATGGAGGGAGGGAGGTAACGGAGGAGGAAGAGGAGGAGGGGTGGCGGGGGGGGGTAAAGAGAAAAGGCGCGGAAGGTCTGGTGGCATGGGAGGGATCTGTCTTCTGGGGGATGGGAAGAGGGAGGACGAGGGGGAGCAGGAAAGGGGGAGAACAGATGGAGAGCAACAGGGAGATGGTTGAAGAGCGGGGGAGCGCAAACATGGATTGAGGCGCGTAGATTAGTGACGGGCCCCGCTTCCGTACAGAATCGACGCGCTGTGTCGCCAAATCAGGCGGCGCTGGCCTAACATTTCAGGGGTGCCTTCCCTTATTCATGGATATGGCGCGCACGCGCCATATCCATGGCTCCCAAATCCATGTTAGCATGTGCCCGAGAAGAGCGGGGAGGGAGGGAAGGGTATCAAGGATTTGTTCCCCGCGGACCTGCTCTGGACCACAGAGCAGAAAGAGTTCGAGTGCATGGTCATAAGGACTTGCACGCAGCATGTCGACAGGAAGCGTATCTAGAAGAACAAGAAGTCGGCATCAACATAAACTGTTTGAGCTCCGCGTGGATTTGTTGGATCGGCGCCGGAGGCGCCACCAGGGGGGCCCAGCACAGATCCAAGAAGTCGGCGCGGAGCTCTTAAAGTTTATGAATATGCCTTTTTTCTTCTTCGAGTATCGAATACGCGGTCAACAGAGCGATCCACTCTGTTCTCAGCGCAAACCAGCGCAGGGCATCAGGGAAAAAAGCATCGAAGAAGGACGCTATCTGGACAGCAGTTTACGGTGGGTGGGAGAAAGCATTAGCATTGGGCACCAGCGACAGGGAGAAGTTCGTTTCCACTTGGATATCCAGCTGCGACGCTTCAGCGCTGAAGTTGCTGCTCGATTCATCTCAGGCCGCACGGCTGCCCAACTTCTCAGCAGCATTGTGTAGCATGTGGTTGCTCACTTGTACGAGGTACTGAGAAGCAGCGGGCTGACTGCCCGGACGTTTCTGCGTGAGCTGCCCGCGAGAGGTCGTGCGCAGCCGCTCTCGTCTCCACATGGCGTGCGTCGCGTGAGCGGTCTGCGTACGCCATAGCGTCAGGTCGCCGCGACTTCCCCCGCCGCGCTCTTGCGAGAGGACTGGGACGTCGGAGGCGTGGTGAGGATGAGCTCGCATCAACTCCCCCTCAGATCTCTCGCGCTAGTCAGAAGTCACATGAGGCGTTGCAGAAAGGGCTTCGCTTGCGAGGATTGGAAAACTTGACATCCCTTCCTGGGCGGAAGGCCGACGGAAGGCTGCGGAAGCAAAACGAGCCTCACAAGAGATTATATGTTGGGGGTGGTTATGGTGGGAACCCGCCACATCGACGAGCGGGCCAATCGTTATGGATTGGCTTCGGGAGCGCGGAACCATTGCTTTGCACAAGAGATCGCGGTATCTGTAAGGGGGGCGGCGCATGCCCCTGGACGCGACGAGATGGGGGGGTCATATGGAAGATCACAGAAGCCCTGCCGGACAGCCCTGCGAGACAGCCCTGAACCGGGAGGCACGGTGGCGGACCGATCCCCTGCCTTCATCCCCATGTGAGCTCCTCTGTTCTTGAGAAGATGCCTCGGAGGTGTGGGCGGGTTGCCAGGCCACTGGCTTTCGAGATCGCGCGACGCCCCCCCTGAGCCCCTTCCCGTTCCCGGTGGTTTCGGGCCGTTCGGGACGATCCTGGCACCCCTAGAAGGCTCTCCGCGAGGCGCAGCTGCTAGAGAGCATCTCGAGGCTGGAACAGCATTGAGAATCGCTGAAACCCTGGAACATATCAAATTTCGAGAGCGGGGGGTGGGGGCCGGGGGGGGGGCACCAAGCACGAGCACCGTCCAGCGAAACACGGAGGAGCTTGGCAGGCGCCGCGCTTCCTGAGCCTGCCAGGCCACGCGGCTGTTCCAGACGCTCCTGGATGCCTGCGGGCTTCCCGTGGCGATCGCCCCCGGGCCCGTCGACGGGCTGGAGGAGAGCGTAAGGGCTGCCTACGGGGAGGGCGAGCCGCCCGAGAAGAGGCGGAGGCTGGAGGGGCCGCTCGGGCGCTAGAGGGCACGCGCGCCACGTTTCGCCAGAGATGCGCGGCCGCGGCCGCGCTGTGGCCAGCGATGGTGGCGGGCGGGTGGCAGGCAAGCAGAGGTCGTACATCTGGCGCCGGCCGAGGATGTGGAACAGGACGCAGAGCGGCTTGGCGGGCGGGCCAAAGGCTAGAGGTGCAGGGAGAGGGAGAGAGAGAGAGAGAGAGAGCGAGCGAGCGAGGGAGAGATAGAGATAGAGAGAAAGAGATATAGAGGGAGGGGGGAAAGAGAGAGAGAGAGAGAGAGACAGAGAGAGAGGTACCACAGGATGCACACACAGAGGGGGCCACGACTGCGAAGCGCGACAGATGACACATTTCCCCCACGAGCTGCATCTAGGCAGCCACGGCTTTTCAGGGGGATATGATTTGCGTCGATGTTGCGATGCCGCACACACACATATACATGTTCGTGCACCCACGTCGTGCGGATTTCCATACATGGCATGCATTCCTGCTGCTGTTCATTTAGCCATCTGTCTGTTTGGCTCCGTCTCTTCTGCCGAGGCGCCTTTTTATGCCCTCGCGTCCGCCACGTGCGTCCGACGCTGTAGAACGATAGGCAGTGACTTCGAGATCCGGTGCACCACTCCTCGGCCCACGGCGGCAGGTGAGCCACCCGGGGTGTCGCGACCCACAGCGCTCCCAGCCCACGTGACCGAAGCCCGAAGCGGAAAAGGAGATGCACCTGTCTCGCAGCACAGCGCACGCTGCGGGGCCCTTGACAACCGGCAGTGCCAGGCACCCCCAGACAGCCACACATTGTGATGTTTGCCCAGCGTGGCTCCCCAGAGGTCTGAACCCCTTCCTCGGGGGGGCGGCTTTCCGTCCCGAGACGTTGTTTCACAGCCCCAGGGCCCAGTGAGGGCCCCCGGAGGCCCAAAACTTTCTCAAAATGTCACGCCTCGATTTCTTCATGACGCGAGGACGGCTGGGCCGTGTTCCGCTCCGGCCCAGCTGCCCGACTCGATGCTGGCCGTTCCCGCCTGTGCCGCGCGCGGCGACCCCCAGGCGTCGGCGTCAGCAGCGTCTCCCTCCCACATGCAAATGCTGAAGCAGGCCGCTGAGGGGTCAAAGACCACACAGTGGGGACGCGCATCGGTCAGAGGGGCGGGGGAGATAGACTCAAGGGGGGACGCATCGACTCCCCATCGCCCAGTCTCGTTGATGGGGCCCCGATGTCCCACCGCGCCCAGGAGCGTACGGATTTGCTGATTCCAGTTCGACGTTTACCTCCCTGAGCCAGTCCCCCCCTATCGTTGCCCTATAGTCGAGAAGCCAGATCCATGTTCGTCAGGGCGCCTCGGGATTCTTCGCTTCGCGTGCTCTTCTTGCGGGCGCCGCGAAACTGCTGCCTTCAGAGTACTTTGGGTTTCCCTTCCAGCTGCACCTCGCGCGCGGATTTTAAGGGTTGGGCATAGTCTGATGGTTTCCTGCGGCCGCGTGCGCACTGCACAGCCAAGACGGCGCGCAATAAGGACTATTCTGCGATCAGCAACGAGGCTCTGATCTTCGGGCCGCTCCTTACGTCTGGGTTGGGGATCCTGTTCGTGGCCGAGGCTCGCTGTGGCAAGACAGGCCCCGTCGTGCCCTATTCTCAGAACTCCAACCTCGTAGTTTGTCCGCAACGTCGACCCCCAGACCCCAGAGGTCTAGACCCTTTTCCCAGGTCTTTCATCACGGGCCGTTGTTGTTGACAGCCCCAGTGCTCGGTGAGGGCTCCAGAAAGCCGAGAACAGCAAGAAGCATCTTTTCTTGATTTGTTGGCGACGTGGAGAGGTAGGGGGTTACAGTAGGTTCGTGCGGCGTTGGCTCGCCGGCGATGCCGCCGAAGGCGTTCAAGGTTGATTCCTGCGACGCGGAAGCACCCAGTGACACGGTGACGCCACAGGACCAGACGGAATTCAACCTTGAACGATCGGGGCCGCGATCGGTTCAAGGTTGAACGATCGATGCGGTGTCAAGAACCGTCGCGCACACTGACGCCGCACGAACCTACCGTACACCAGCGCTGGCCAGGGCAATCGCTGGGCCCAGGGGCCGAACACGCGCTTGCCCATTCGAGGCCGCAGCCTAGAGGGGGCGCTCTGGAGCCGCACTGGCTCTTCGCCCGGGATGGGCCTGGCCGGGATTTGGGGCAGCGCCAGGGTCGGGCCAGACGAACGGGTATAGTATAGGCCGGGAGTTGCTAGAAGTGCCCTTGGCCAAAGGTGACCCCAGGATTTCCAAGGAGGTCCCCACAGCTTCCAGAGCACCCCTGACGAGGCCCAGAGGGCCCCATGGGCTCCAAAATTGGACGAAAAGCAAGGGGCACCTTGGGACAGGAGCGCCTTTAGCAACCCCCGCCAGGCCCATTCCTCGTTACATGGGCGTCTCCCGGCGCCAGGAGGCGCCACCTATCCTGCCCTTTGCTATCCTACCCTTCCGTCCCCCCCGACAGGGTCGGGCCTAAACTGAGGGGAGATCGGGGCCCTTTTAGAACCAGTAGGGGTCCAAAAGGGGCCCTACATCCCTGCAGGGCCCTTTTAGGGCTTGGCTTCACCCCCTAATGAGGTCCCCCCCCCTTCAGCACCCGCACGATAGGGAGAGGTAGGTATTCTCAGGGGGAACGGAGCTTCGAGGTTCGAGGTGTGAGTTTTTCGGTAGTTGTCGACGGTTCCTGGCGGCCTTCCAGCCTCGGAGTGCGTTCCGGCGGCTGTCCCTCGCCGAGAGCGTTCCGGGGCTGCCTGCATGGATCGTCCCGAACGGCCGCCGGAGAGTCGTCGAGTTATGGCCCGAAAGCCACGTGGCAATGGTGAGGGGGCATCGGCTCAGGGGGGGACGCGTCGGCCCCCCGTCGCCCATGCATCGCCGACAGGGGTCCCGATAGCTCGCCCGGCCCAGGGACGCGCGAATTCCTTGTCGGGAGCCTGTCGCCGATGTGTCGGCGATGTATCGCCGATCCCGGGTCGAGGCTTCCTCCCTGGGCGAGTACCCCTCCTAGCGCTCCCCCTCAGCTGCCATCTCCTCCCACGTCGCACTGCTGCTCGTGGCGTGGGCTCCCGAGGTCTCGACCGGTGCCACGGGCCCGGCTTCTGCTCCCGAGACGGTGTCTGGCGGTCCTGGCCCGGGGGCCGAGGGGCGGCCCCCAGGAGGGGCCGAAGAGGCAGTGAGAAACTGGCCGTCACGTTTCGTGGCATGGGTGTCGGCGGCGGCAAAGAGGGGGGGGTGATGACCAGGGGGGGGGATACCATGGCGTGGGCCATGATACTTCCCCAGGTGTCATGGCGCCTCTCCTTATTTCATTACGTCCCTGCCCCCCCCCCCCCCCCTGCCCCCCCACCCCCCCTGGGCCGCGCACATGCCGCCGGCCATGATTTGCACCCCCTCCTCTTGGACGCCCCCCTCTTGGCCGTTCCCGAGGGTACTCCGAATTTCATAAAATCTGCACCCCGTGGATGATAAAGCATGCCCCCCTTGACCCTTGTACTTCTTTACCTACGGGGTTGAATGTGGCTCAGTTGCCACCACGGGCGGGGAGGCCGAACTTGATTGTCCCCTCCAAAGTTTCTGTCGTAGCTCTGATCTTCGTCTCATGCATAGCGCCATGACTAATCCCATCCTAAACGATAATTCCGGGAAAGAGTTGATTGTCCCGCCTGTATCCCGAACTTCATTATCCCCAGGGGAGTATTTTCACCAGCCTAGGATTCAAGGCGGGCTCTGACTTTTTTGGGGGCTGATCTGAGCTGTCGTAGAGGGTTCCGGGGGGCCTGGGCAACAGGCGGCCCTCTCATGGCTGATTTGGGAGCTTGGGACCCCCACACCTGTATGATTGAATTCAGGTTATGGTCGGACCGAGGTATAAGATCGAGGTCGGTTCGGGGAGGGTACCCCGGATACCCTGATGTTCTTCGTGTTTGTTGGGCGTTCTCGTGCATCATGTGGGAGGGTACCCTCGAATGTTCTTCAGTTTTGTCGACGGGGGGTCCCATGTTCTTGAAGGATGTTCTTCTGTCCTAGGTCCGGCCGCAGTATTGAATTATGAATGAACCTCCTCAAGGAGCAGACAGCGGCGTAGGTGCAATCGTTCGGAGGCCCGTGGATTTTCCTGGTCGGAGGCTCCGCCCGCCAGGACTAGGGGGCCCAGCGCCTACACAGACAGTATTGAAGGTGGTTCCCCTTGCTGTCCTTCTGGCATTCCAGACCCATTGGCGTCGTGAAAAATACGACGGAAGGTTTTTCGCTATTGCTGGTCTCTGGGGCCCTTACCAGGCCTCCGAACCTTCAAAAAACACTTCAGGTTGAAAAGCCGGTCCCGGGGAATGGGTTGAGACCTCTGTGGGTCGACATTTTGAAACAATCATCACGGCGGGGGTCTTGGAACAGCAAGCCGGATACACAGCCACGCGCAGAAAGGGGCGGGGGGGAGGGGGGGGGGCCTCTGAGAAGCACCCCTGTTTCTTAGAAGGCGCGGGCCTTGTCTACAGATGCAAGGCCCGCGCCTTCTAAGAAGCAGCCTCCTTCTAAGAAGCCTTCCCCCCTCCCTCTACCCCCCTTGCGTGCGCCGCCAACAGCAAGCCTGATACCCATGTTGTGGCCGGCCTGAGCGAAAACTGGACGCGCATGTGTCCCGACGCCTCTCCAGCGCTCGGCACCCCCATGGCCGGGCGCGCCGGGCCCCCGCGCGTGTATCCAGCGCGTGGCTTTCGGATGCCGCTCGAGAGGATGGAGCACGAGGGGAAGGGGGAGGAGGAGGGGGAGGAGGAGGAGGAAGAGGAGGAGGAGGAGGAGGAGGAGGAGGCGGAAGAGAGCCCTTTCCTTCGGGCGAAGGGGGGGGAACAGCGGGGGGGGGGGGGGGGGAAAGGTGCTGCATGCAGCTGGTTTCGGCCCCGCCGCCAGCTGCTTTCCCTGGCACGCTGGCGCCGAGAGGCGTCAGGAAAAGGAGCTACATGAGCTGATTCGCAGACCCTCCCCCTCACTAACGTCCTAATCCCTTCTCCAGGGCTAGTCTTTCGACCCGAATGATTCGTTCGTGGCCCCAGGGCTTGATAACCGGGCCCGGAGGCACAAATCGAGGAAAAAACACAAGTTCAAAAAGCCATCGTCGTCGAACATCTGGGGAATCCGTGTCGGCGTTCGACAGTTTATCCGAACCATGTGGGCTTCCAGCTTCCTGGTTCAGGAAGGTTAAGGAAGAGGAGGAGGAGGAGGAGGAGGAGGAGGAGGAGAAAGAGGAGGAGGAGGAGGAGGAGGAGGGGGAGGAGGAGGAGGAGAGGAGGAGGAGGAGGAGGAGGAGGCAGGGGAGGGGGAGGGAGAGGGGGAGGAGAGGGGGAGGGGGGGCGAGGGCGAGGGGGAGGAGGAGGAGGTGTGCTGCTGATGATATGCTCAGGCAAGGCAGTGGACGGGTGGTGCGGCTGGGAGGAGGAGGAGGAGGAGGAGGAGGAGGAGGAGGAGGAGGAGGAGAAGAAGAAGAAGAAGAAGAGAGGAGGAGGAGGAGGAGGAGGAAGGAGGGGAAGGGAGGGAAGGGGGAGGGGAAGGGGGAGGGGGAGGAGGAGGAGGAGGAGGAGGAGGAGGAGGAGGAGGAGGAGGAGGAGGAGGAGGAGGAGGAGGAGAGGAGGCGGAGAGGAGGAGGAGGGAGAGGGGAGGGGGAGGGGGAGGGGGAGGGGAGGGGGAGGGGGAGGGGAGGGGAGGAGGAGGAGGAGAGGAGGAGGAGGAGGAGGAGGAGGAGGAGAGGACGAGGACGAGGACGAGGACGAGGAGGAGGAGGAGGAGGAGGGGGAGGAGGAGGAGAAGGAGGAGGAGGAGGAGGGGGAGTGGGGTGGAGGGCGAGGGGGAGTGGGAGCAGTGCTTCCGCTGCTGCTCAGTCACGGCAGTGGACAGGCGGTGCGCTTGGGAGGAGGAGGATGATGAGGAGGAGGAGGAGGAGGAGGAGGAGGAGTGGAAGTGGGAGGGGGAGGAGGAGGAGGAGGAGGTGGAGGAGGAGGAGGAGGAGGAGGAGGAGGAGGGGGAGGAGGAGGGGGAGGAGGAGGAGGCGCTTCCTGGTTCAGCTCGCGCCCTCTCAGGCCACGCTGTCGAGCCAGAGC